TTCTCTCTGATGGTGATGCCCAACTTCATATCAAGAGAGTGAGAAATCGAAGTAGGGAAAATGAAGACCAGTCTGTTACATCACCAGTTTCCTATTTCCAACAGATCCATCCTGCCTCAAAATTCACTTGATATTCTATGCCTCCTTTTCCCCGTCTCTTGGGATCCAAGCATGGATGAGACACATCTCTCAGAATGAGTCTGTTGATGACATCTCAGCTGTACACAATTCCGCATGCCTCCCCAAACGACTGGCGTACGGGCTCCGAGCATTGATTCATCCAAAGTTATTTCCAAACAGGCTCATGTACGGCAAAAGATGCAAACAGATTTCTATTCGTCGTTTGGGATTTGTAGTATTGGCTACGGTTGATCAGGTCCATACACGCATGTTCAAAGGTATTGGATACATTTTGTGCCCGCGTTCACTCGTAGCGGAAAAAAGTACTGAATGCTACACATGGCACGCGGGACTACCAACCAACAACACACACATACACAAACCCGCACACATATTGCAAACAGCCAGAATCCCTTCGAGCAGACTAGGACCTATATGAGAAAAAAAGTTGATAGTTATGGGCTGCTCCATTTGCACGACGGGTAGGTAACATTTCAGATCCAGCTCACTTCTTCCCGAGGTTCGTCCATTTTTTCCGAGGGGAGGCATTTGACTCGGCTAAATCAAGTTCATCGATAAAGGAACAACAATTACAACACAGATTGATATCAAAAGTCGATTAAACTGCTGAATAATTTACTTTCAGTTGTAATTTTCTGGTGTGAACTTAAAAATCATCAGTTAAATCATCATCCAAATTAACCTGATTAAGACTGTTCCATTTTCCCAAGCAGGGGTGTCAGGGGTGAGACGGAGCCAACGACATCTTAGCCCCATAACACAAAGCGGGGGAAAAACTAACATTCAATGCAATCACGCCAATCGATTTTTATCAATAACCATAACTTGACATTTAATTGACATACGATCCTAAACGATTCACGCAGGCCCTCCCCCCCTCGTTCACTTTCATTGCATTCAAAAGGTCATACCATTCTCGCCGCAGGGGGGGAGAGGTGTCAGGTTGCCCCCGATTGGTTGAGAAAACAACAAGGGGTCAGGTCGACGGGAAGGCAAAAGAGAGCGAGGGTAATACGACCCAGCCTGCCTCAGGGGGGTAGCCCCAGCATACATGATTCTAAATCATGCTCAAGAAGCTGAAAGAATTGCCTTACTGACCCAGTTACATGCGCATACATACCGACTAATGAATCAACTGTTGGGACTTCTATTTATTTAATCCATGTGCGTATTGGATTTATATTTATTTAATCCCTCTATGCACTGTTGGTGGCGATTGGAAAATGTACTTCTTTTTAGACTACACTGAAAAAAACACTTGTTTTAAAACTGTAGCTCCAGTTAAAATTGTGAAGACAAAATCATTTTGAGAATGAGAAAACTGATAAATTTCAGACAGTTTTGAGGTAAAAATCGTAAAAAACAAAACCAAAAAATCATCAATATGTCACATGTACCTTCAACATCCAATAAGACTGGATACTGCCCTCTATTGACAAAAGGAAAGGATTCTACTGAAGTGAATTGAAACAAATGAATTCATACATTTCTACATAAGTACATGTATGTAATGTTCAGATTTTTCAACAACCTTACGTGAAACAAATGAATCAATTTCTAGATAATTCTCAGACTTTTTAAAATTTTATCTAAAAATTAAGCGACGCCCGCAAAGTTGTTAACCTATAGCAATCATAAAACAGGAACGTCCCTGCGAAACTCTGAATTAATTCAATAATGTGCTTTTGCAAGGAAATGGATTGTATTTTATTCAGAACTTAAACAAGGTGTCGCCAACTCTGAAATATGCCATGATGTTGCAGGAAAAACAGATAAGCTGATATTACAAATTTTAGACCTTGACTTGTTATTTAAAAGGGTAAATTTCTGGGTTAGAAAAACGTGTGACTAGAGTCTGAAGCTTTTCCAATATGTGACCTATTTCACGAATTAAAAAAAAAATTCACCAACTAATTTCTTCAATATTTTGAAATTTCTGAAAAAACTTCACCAAGATTTCCTCCGAACCTAGTCTTCAATAGTTGGTTTTCTCCTTTAAAAAAACTGAGCCTCCAGTTTTCACATATTTATCTAGATTATGACTTCTAAGTTGCATTTCAACCCACTATCAATATTAGGCCTGGGCGAGTAGTGGATTTTTGTACTAAAGTGCTCGCGGTAGTCAAGTACTTGCGAATAGTTAACCGAATTCCCATAAAAGCAGGAAAATTACATATTCCGGTACCTTAGAATGACGGGAAGTAACTACAAGCAAATAGCATGCAAGTCTTACCACATTCGTCAGCATTAAGTAATCCTTACTGTGCGACATTTTGCGTCATTTACTTGAATTTTTTTTGGAGGGGGATGAATGGAATCCCAGGGAGAGAGGTGGAGGGAGTGATTCCCTGTTTGCAGGGGACGTATTAACCCTAAACCCTAAACTGCTTCTTCTCATGCCAGGACGAGTACTGGCGTGGATGAAAAATTACTCACCCAGCGGTAATCAATATAAAGAAAACCAAAGATAAGAAAACCTAGTTCTGAAAAGTTAGTTTTCTCCTAAAATAAAAAACCACTGTAGACCCACATTTTCATATTTTGATCTAGATTAGGACTTCGAAGTAGCCTTACCAACCTGCTGTCAATATAAAGTGGGATTCCTGGGTCACCTGTCCTTTTTAGCCAGGTGGCAAATATTGAATCAAAATCAACCCATATAGATTTCGTCGAGGAATGCAATATTCCCACATCTTGTAACCGGAGTGATCTCACTCCAAGGCAGCCCCTTCCGGCGAGACAAGGCCACCACCCCTTCAGCTGCCAATGCAGCGACCCGATTAGCAGCACAAAACAATAGAGGTCAAGGTCATGGCCCCTATCCCAAAACCGCAAAATAGGGGTGGGCAGGGTCCAATGACAAGCGCCACCAACACATACCAGAGGAGAGTGTAATGGAGAGTTGTGCTAAATGTTGTGACATCAGCCAGTGTTCTTAGATTTGAGGGCAATACCCAACCGGTCGTTGACCCCAGCCCAAGTCTCCAAGCAGCTTGCCCCAATTCGTGTCAATTATGCAGATGCTGTACCCTATTATATCACAAACCTTTGCCTAATATCCCAGCAGTGGGTCAGAAAAAAAAAATTCCTTTGAAAATGGAACAAAGAATGTTTACTCTGCTCTTTAGGAGAAGTTGCAGGCATTGCAAACAAATTTCTTCATGGACAACTGAGCCCTGTAATGAGCAAATATGTGAAAGGCGCCCTCTGTTGACAACACAAAATTAATGTCTCCCCAAAATGTCCAATAATAAAAATGTCCATGAAATCTATACTGGTCAATTTTGCCATCAGAAAACATTAAGAACTTATAAGACAGAATAACATGTAGTGTCTCTCTCCTTGTTTTTGGAATATAAATTAAACTTGAAGAAAATGAAACAGTTTAATAATTCAAGTACTGGTTGCAAATGCAATACAAAACATGGAAAACAAATATTATTTTGCCTAGTGATGATTAAAATTCATAGAACGGAACCAACACATATGAGACTTTTTTTCTTATTACGATAACACGATCCAAACAAATACACTCCAGTAGAAACAATGAAACAACTGTGAACTACCAAGTTTCATATTGACAAAGGTGAACTGATCAAATTCATCTCTTCCTAGAAATATAGAGACAGTCTCAACTGCCACAGTCACAAAATGGTTTCCACACATTTCTTTTCCCTCTCAAGCTCGTTCTAAGATTCTAACGACATAAAGACATAATACTCCTGCACCGACATTTGCGTTTTTTCCGCCCAACTGTCACATCTACTGTAGTCCATGTTTTCAGCCCCCCCCCCCTACATTTTTGTACTCAGAGGCCCTTGCATTACAAACTAGCATGCGGTGCTGTCAATCCCTATTGCTGGCATGTCAGCAATTCCTGCCTGGCCCCGACCCACAACTGACTTCGTTATGAGGTCAAGACGTCAACAGTCCACCAGCTGCAGGAAGTCATGTGACCCTTACTTGACCCCTCCACTGATCCCTCCCCTCCCCGAAACCTTCCCGCTAAACTACGACTCCAAGCGGTGAGCCAGTTTACCGATACCTTCTAAATGAACCTAACTTCCACATGGTTGCCACTTAACGGCAAAAAAACAAAACAGCAAACAAAAACAACAACAAGGCTTGACTGAGTTGGCGTGGGTTCCACAAAGGCGGATCTGGAAGTGCGTACGTGAACGTTCAGCAGGATTCACTTGACAGTCTTGACACGTGGGGCTTACACGTAATGATCATTGTATGTTCATGCGGATGTGTGACATGACTCTGACTTTTCCAGGATTGAATTACACAACGTAGGCCATTTCAAAGAACTCTCTTGGATCTCCATGCTTGTTGTTCACGGCCAAAGTTTCAGTTCGGGTTCAAATGTTACAATCTGGTTTCTATTAGCTAGGCGCATTTCCTTCTTTCTTTCAGAGTAGTAACAGAATTGGGAATTTGACGCCAGAATTAAAGCCTGCAACAAAGGCATTCCTTACATGTTCATCTCTTGCAAAAGAGAACCTTGGTAAACACCACTTTAGTTAAACAAAACAAAAACGTCATGAGAATATTTCAGGAAGCACCAAGGCCAGATAGAGCGAGGAATGATCTTAATTAACTTTTCAAGGCTTGGTTTTATTGGATCTTTTTACTTTAACACTTTATCATGAGGGAAACTAACTTTATCATGGATAATTAACTTTACTCAAGTTTAATGAACAATGAAAATCAACCACAGTGGGACTTGAACCTGCAACCAACAAAAAGACAGCCAGAACAATTCAAAACCAACACAAAAACACAACATTCCAAAAACAAACAACCAGCGATGAAACCAACAAACACACTAATGACGGACCAACAAACAAACTCACCGTCATCTGATTGCATTTGATCCCATCCCGAGCTTCGAGGGGATTTCTTCCCTATAGAAAAGAAAAGAAAAGAAAAAAAATTGAGAAAAAAAAACATTGGGTGAGAAAAAAACTGGGGCAAAAAAATATCAGCAAGTCCTCTCCAGATTTCAGCAACAGAGGGCACTGTTGCACTTAATTGTCTCACTCAGCGTTGGACCTCCTCAAAGCATTTGCCAGGGCTGGGAATTGAAGATTGATTGAAGACTCAGTGTACATGCTTATTACTTTGATCGGATGACGATCAAATCACCTTTATGAAAATTCTGTCTGTGTGACCACTTGTCAAAACACGTCTTTGGAAATCTTTGACTAAATGCTGACATGTTCATTAAATGCATGCATATTCAATGTACCAGTATCTATCTATTTATTGTTTGTAATTTATCTTTCACTTAGGGCTGGAGAAATACTATGAAGAGTACTTGAGTAGTGCACTTGACCTTATAGTTATACTTGTATATTTACAGAGACCATTTGAGAAACACTTAAAATGTTTGTACCCACAAAATTCCTCAAATATGGTACATCTACCGGTATGAATAAAAACACCATGCATGGGCCAATTTTATGGAACTCCAAAGCACGGAAATGTACTAAGCACAGAAAACATTGGCTTAGCACAAGCAGGTTACCGTCCAAAATGTCACAGTTTGTATGCTGCTTGCGACTGGTACCCAACTACCTTGTGCTTACCAACAAATTTTTTAATCAATTTTTGTTTATGTTGGGCGGATCCGTGAAATTGGAACTAGGAATGTGAAAATTCAAACTGAGCAGACGAATAAAATTGATGTCAATTTGACACGTGTGATACCGACATGCAGACCAGAGTCTGCGTGTTCATATTTGATTGATACTTGACATTTAAGATGACTTCATTTGCTAAGATTGGGTTGCCTTTCCGTCAGGATTTTGTGAAGACTTGATTTTATTTTCAGGGTCCCCACGGAGAGCGACAGACAGGGTGGGGGAAGCCATTAGAATTTAAAGTCATAAGACCTGGACTCAAAAGAAAGAGAGAGAGAGAGGGGGGGGGGGGGACCCTAGGGGTTTTGTCCTAGGGGTTTTGGCCTATTTATATCCCTGGCATTGACATTTCAGACAGTCTCAGAAGATTGCCGTGAAAAAAAACCGAGAATAATTTGTTGACAGGGAGTCCAAAAATGATTCAATGAAATCCGAAGGTATTGGAACAGTTTTGTTGTTGGAAGATTTAAAAAAAAATGTTGCTTCACAGAACTACGACTGAGAGAAAAACTCTGTTGAATTCAGAGTTACAGAAGAAAAAAGTTGCAAAAGGGGGAAGTATAAAATATGTATAGTATGAAACACAAGTCTACACTTAAGAAACATTTCAAGTTAAAGAAATAGGACATGCACCATGAATGAACTGTCGAGGTATTAAGCTGTCACACCCTGATGTGTCAGGATAAGTATGAGTATTTTACATGTAACTTGTGGGGGGGGGGAATTAATTTTTCAGATGAAATGGGTGTCCCGCTATTTTTAATACAATAAGATGCCACGGATATTTGCACAAAAATTCATTCTAGTGTGAAATGCCACGCAAGGCGACTTTAAGCCGTCCCCCCAGCAACACACTGACCTCAAATGGTCAAAGAGACAATGCCAAGCACTCTCCAGGTTGCCACGACAACCCGACAAGACATTGTGCATGAACGGCCCTGGTAATTGGCAAAGTGTCACATTTGCGTCACCCCCGTAAATCCTCCCAAACGGTAGGCTGTCAATTAAAAGCGGGACTCGCACGTTAGGAACGAACCGAAAATGGGTGAGCCTTAAAGACATCTGCACTAAAAAAAATAATAATAAATTAAAAAAAAAAAGGAATTTCTAGGGTGAGAATAGAACTTGTTTATCAACTTTTGCAAACATCTGTAAATTATAGAAACAATGGTGACAAGGTTTCACAGTCTTTCTAAAAAAAAAGGGTCAGTTATTTTAAGAAGGAGCAGTTACACTGTTTTATGACATTTCAATTCTTGCCGCAGTTCAACATTTAATTGTCAATATTAATGATATTTCTACTCATGTTGTCACAAATCTCTCTGTGTCGTATTACAGCCCATCAGAAATTTCATTTTTTAAATACTTCACAAATTAATGTGATGTCGGGTTAGGGTGATAGAAAAATTTGTCATGAAACATCCAAAGGTTTTGGGACACACTATTCTGCTTAAAACTCTAATTCCAAGCGGGCATAAAACTGTCACATACACTTACTGTAATTTCAATGTTGTGCCTATTAGAAGGCAGTGATGTATTTGGGGGACATATATGTACAAAGGTGCTACTGTGCCAAGTTGCAATGTACATGTATAACACATGCTTACAATACCTATAGAGCTGTATGCAATATGCTTCATAGATATTTTGTTAGTCAGTGTACGTGTATAATGAGCACTCAGTGCAGAACATTGTATTCATTGATGTATGTATGTATGACTATAAATGACCTAAATATTTGAAGGCTGCCCTCTATTGGTGAGATGTGACATTATCCATGTTTTCCTCACTGCTTTACATTATAACGCAATTCTTTGAATGTTCGTCTATATTCTCTATATCATATGTGCATTTAATGACTAGAACAGGGATTTCGAAAATCACCTCATTGATGCAAAAATTACATTTACAGTAAATTTATTCCATTTTTACATTTTAATCCACAACAAGCATTTACTTGTACATGTACATCCAAAACATCTCAAGCGTGCGCTTTGCCATTCCAGGACAATTTAGTAATATTCTGTTTCCAATGATAAAATCCTTCCTTGGGGGTCGGCCCAATATTCCAGCGACGCTTTTTCTTTCTTGTGTCTTACGCAGATCTGCTGGCTAAGAACCATCCAGGGAATCTAATAATGTGGCTCAACTGAGGGACGGAGTGAAAACATACCTAGCAGCAGGGAAGGAGGGGGGGGGGGTAGGGGAGGCAGGCAAACCTGCGAAGATGTGTCACGCTTGTGATATGCAGATTAGAAATGGCAAATGTGCTATTTGGGACTCGTTACGTGGACCCTCTGGCTAAGAGGTCCAGGACAGGATGGAATCAACTCAAAGAGCGGAGAGGGACGGACAGTTTGAATTTGGCCGGGAGTGGGAGACAGAAACTGCATTGGTAATCATCGCAGGAGACGGGCTTACATTATGAACAAGGTTCTGCTAATCACAGTATGCGTGTAGAATCACCATCCTGTACTTACAGTGCTCGAACAGATATTCTGTGCTTACCCTGTAAGCACATAATCAGAATGTCGACACATAATCCAAAATTTCTTGCTAACATTGGGAATCTTTTTACAGTTAACAAAGAATATTCTGATAGAGTTAGCATAGCTTCATCGCTTACTGTAAGTAGAGTTATGGGACTCGCATTTTTGGATTCCAGTTTTATTGACTAAAAAGAGGCAATCAAAAATGTTTGAATTTTAAGTGAAAACAGCGGATGACAATGGCACCGTGACGGAAATACCGTCAGTTTTTAATGCGTTCGGTCAAATGCGATTTATCACATGGGAATGAGAACACAAATACTTGCCATTTCAAAAGAAAATGCACTCTTTATTCTACATTTGTTTTTCTTATTAAATGCTGGTTTGTCTAGGGAAAAAAGAAGAATTTTGCTTCCGTTTTTTTAGATTGATTTTTAAGTGGGATCTTGGTGGCTTAATGGGAAATGGCGGAAGCACAGTGTTAAACTTTTTTAAAATTTAAATCAAATTAATCTGATTTGAAAGAGATGCCGCCGATTTGTGTCCCATTACAGAAATTCTCAGGAAACCTTTCATGCAAAACAGACAGAAAGGCAACCTTGACGTGGGACTATGCATTCACATGCGGCGAAAAAAAAAATGAAATGCAGAAAAACAGTTCAATTGTACTGTACTAGCCGGGTCGTAAAGTGCTCATGAATGGCCGCGGGAAAAAATGTCGTCCGGCAAACAAGGTTAGCAGTAGGGGGAACTTTTGACTATTTAATTATGCCCCGGCGAAGAAAGGATGCTGCAGGGGGAGGCAGGACGGTTGCTTGAGTGAGGGACAGACTGAACGACATTGAGATGTGAATGGAAATGATAATCAGGGTACAAAAGACATCACTGAGCTATTAGAAAAATCAGCCTTTCAATACCGCTCATCGATTGAAGCCTACAAGACGGCGCTACTTGAATCTTTATCTCTGAATAAAGAAGCTCTACTTGGGGAAGTATTTTTAACTTACAGCTTGTGTCGTAATGGAGAGCTGGTCTGCAGAAGCCTTGATATGTCGCAATTATCATTTTTCAAGAACATTGACGATATGACAGGTTCTTTTAGGTGAGACATATGTGGGTTAGGGGTTAAGATCTTTGAGTTTACACAGCTTGAAAAAAACACATAAAGAAAGCTTGATCTTAATGTTTCAATTCAAAGGTTATTTAATTGATAAAAATATTAGACATGATTTGTCGAAGTCTGTCGAGACAGGCTTACTTAATACTCTTTTAAGCCAAAACTTAACAAAGATTTAACCCAATGTGACTCATTTTTAGGTCTCTTCTGTAAAATTATACAATTTGTCATCACAGACGATTTCTTTTTAGTGGAGGGAAGGAAATTGTTTAACTTGATCGGTAGGAGGACATTTTCCATCTTTTTCCCACTGGGAAGACTCTCATTTCCCGAACCCCAAATTACCAAAAATTAAATTACCACAAATTTCCCAAGTTAGCTCAGGGATACATCATGCTATTCCAGGGTTTTGACTTTGCATTGCGTGACCAAGGGATCAGTCATGCATCCAAAAACAGCAGGTAAACGAATGCTGTCTACACAAGTAAATATGACGTCCTTGAACTTGATTTAACCTGCCAAAGTACCCTCATTTTTTTTCAGCCTTACAGAAACAACACAATTCTGCCATAATGCACTTTTTAATACCCAGCAACTTTTTAATAAAAACAGCTCCCTGATTTTAAAATGCGACCAATACATTTTTTGTTAAATTT